CAGTTGGTAATCCCAGGTGATAAGCGACATGAAGTTTGTCACGAGGAAGACTGGGATGGCACCTTTTCAACACGGCACCACAGTCATGGGCACTTGTTGTGGAACTGCTCACTTGCAATCCTTATCTGAGCCCCATTGAAAACCTTTGGTTGTTGGCTGGGTAGGTTTATCGAAATACCAAGGCGTAGAGTCATCCTGTTCAACTCAAGGCTGCCTTGAACAGTGAGTGGGACCGCAGTCTGCACAGAGTTTGTCAGTAGCATTCAGAGAATTTGGCTTGACGTTTATGGACAGGAAGGCTAGACCTCATTCAATTGGAGTGAAAGGATTAGTATCAATACCGCATCGTGCCTATATTTAAACACGTTCTTGAATAATGTGTGTAATACTCAATTGTCGAATACTTTCACTTTTTCCGACTTGCCATGGATTCCGTGATCCTCGTAAGAAGACCGTTTGAGGTGCTCTAATTATCGAACTAAGGAGCAACTTTATAATATCCCCAAAATTTCGATCTGTTATCTTATCCATATTTTCCTTCTATGTACGTTACGTTTAAACGATAATAGCTGCCGCATTGAGGTAGGATTTCAGCCAAACGATTGAGCGAATCTTTTTGAAATGGATGAGATCTAAAGTGAGTTCTATCGCATACTCCCAGACAGATGAGCATTGTTGTACGCTAAGACACGCAGTGATGCGAGTTTCGCTTATCCCTAACAACCTAATAACCTATGTTACACTTTCAAGTGTAATTACAAACTAACAGAACAAGGGAATTACGTCGAGCCACACAAGCACTTTAACCATTGGATAGACAATGGGTCCTTCATTTTCGCCTGTTCTCCGAGCTCGGTAATGTCTTTACTACGGGCGGGGGTGTTTGTATTATATGGCCTTAGTGTAAGAACAATGATCGATAAACAAGGCGAAGCTGGCGTCTCGTCCATCCTTCGAATCGAATAAAAACAAACGAATCGTTTTCAACGTGTTTCCACAGTTTTATCAAACCTTCCTATTGAGTTTGACTAGTGGGAAACACAATTCTATAAGCAGATTTAATTACACTTAGTCCTTCTACAGGTGCAGTTACTTGAACCGACGGTTTTTATGCACAGTTTCATTATTCTTTCATTGTTTTTTTTTGATAATCAATGCCATCTCCCTAATCCTCTTCATCGATTTAGGGCCGTCGTCGTGTAGCCAGCGAGAGACCTCCTGCCCAGACACNCAGACACTGCAGTTGGACTTTCTGACAAAAATCCTACCAAATTATCATCACTTATTGAAAGCCAGTCGTCCGTCAAATGTGGGCAGTGCATTCGCTTCACCAAAAGCCGCTCCAAAATGAACCAGTTCCTCATACTGCTGAGTTTAACTTTGCAACTATCTTATGCTCGGTATTTGGGATAACTGTTTTGTAATTTTTCGCACGCTAACTTGCTGTTGCATGCGGTGCTGATTTCCCAGTACCCGTTATCTCACTTGATTCAAAGTGTATCTGTTTTACCCCTCAAACGACACTGGAAGAAAAGTTAATTTGCACCTTTCATGGCGAATCGTGTCGTTTTCCTCAGCCAAATACATGCCTTTTTCACTGTCCCACGGGTTCTTCCTTAAATATCTTTGTATGTTTACACAGATGCTTAAGCATCACTGATGATAACAAAAGTAGAGCTTACTGCTTGCAGAGCGCATGCTTCACTCGACGAACACAGAGTTGTACGAGAGCATGAAATCCGAAGAGTGCTCGATCGAGAACATTCGGATGCGTGTATCTCACAATGTGTTCGATCCTGAACGGTGATTCTTGCTATCAGCTTGACCAATAAATCACGAAGATACTAAAATCTCGTTCGAAAATAACGAAACAATAGCCTGAGAGTGGAAACAAATTTACGATAAGATATTAGAGTTGTTATTACGGGGAAAATGAAAATTGGAATTTCACCTTCTGTCCGCTAAGATTTGAGCCGCATGCAAAAGGACACGGTAATCACTGGGACTATTCCGGCTGCTTCCCGACACTTCGCATTGCAGTGAGAGGTGGAACCAAAAATAATGCATCCGTTGTCTGACAGACCAGAGATGTAGAGACGCAGCACAAAAAAATCCTTCAAGAAGCGCTTTTGACGCATTTTACTATCATTTGACCAACTTGATCTACCTTATATGTTATAGGATAGGCAGATATTCTATTTTAGGGCTTTGTAAGTCGGCAACGTAGCTTTTTCCCTTGTTTGAGTTTAGGACCGCATAAATGACCCAGGGTGGCCGATGTCACGTAAGGTGCAAAATAATAGCCTCGTTTCGTTAGTCCACTCTTGCTACGACCGATTGGGAAATCATCACTTACTGAACATTAATCTATAAATTGCAGGTATGTGGCACTAGGATTTCGATTATCGAATCCGTCTTTGATGGTCGAACTGGCCCTCAACGGCTAGATTCATCGGGGACACTGAAGCGAAGGAAGTGCGATTGGGATGGGGGTTGTTTATTGTGATCATAAATGACGTTTTAACTGGTAATGGACATTACCAGGATGCTGTCCTGTGTGAACTAAAGATTAACGAAACAATAAATCCGAATTTGCACATGTTCTTATCTACCTGAATCAAGTTGGACCTCAAGGTGCCTAGTTATTGTGTTACAGCATAACGAAACTTGCTTCCTCACGACCTCTGGTGCTTGATATCTTTCAAGCAAAGGAATGATATTCGAGTTGAACTGAAAAGAAAGAAATCCATGAAAAGAGTTCACTTATAAAGTGCAGTTTACGCATTAGTGGTAGATATGCTTCGGGGTAGAAATTAGCACCTACGATTTTCGGACATTGTGTATCATAGTAGAAAATTATTTCGTTCACAGGGAGGCTTGATCTGTATACATCTTATTCGATATATTACAGAAAATTAATGGGAGAATGAACAGATTGTCGAAATACTATCTTGAAATTCGGAATGCTTCTGGTATTCCAACGTAATGGGCAGTGAAGTGTTATCTGTGCTTTGAATTGAGAATTCAAACCAGAACCCAAGTTTCCCTCACAACCCCTCTAAGAGGGTTTCTTAATAATACATAATTTTGATTTGATGCCTGCTGTTCACAATGTCTCATTCCGTCTGTCTTTTCTTCATGGTGTTATTTTCAGCCTTCTCTCCGATAAAGACAAATTGTCCATCCGATTGCTGTGCCCATCTCAAATCATCATCAAAATGGACGAGACTATGTCTGTTCTGTTGCCTGGTGAAAGCGGTAGCATAGCTGAGGTCCTGGGACCAACCGAAGGGTTGGGACAAGCGGGGGCAAGCGATATAACTGATGCGGTCAGTGCTACCGCAGCATTTCATTTTACCGGCACATCGGCTTCTGCTAACGGAGCAACAATGCAGGAGTACTTTATGCAGGTACTTATGAGTTCATTGAGTCTGGTTTCAACACGTGGTCTTCGTCCGATTCCCTGGATGTGTTTAATGTGAGCATTTTATCGCATGATCCTACAGTTTGTTTCAGTTTCGGTTTGTACACTCATTACCCATGCACTTTAGTGTGCCGGTTTTGATTAATGTCTTCTGGCTGCCCATTTGGATGAAGCAGGTGGAGAAACACAGGGAAGTTCAGAGTAAAGTAGTAGAGAAAATAAATAATTTTATTACACCAAGGTTGCGAAGAAATTAAGAAGATGCACGAACATCACTGTTTTCGACACTCAGCCATATCACTCAGTGTCTCCAACCACCGGTGACCATGATCTCGGGGTCCCCAGTCAGGGAGCCTAACAGGACTTATGTGACTCAGTGTCCTGGTTAGGGTTTTTATATTCTCATGCCAGGTCTTTGTTGGACTGCCCGTGACTTTTCTCCAACCGCTACCTGCGTCGGCGTACCGTAGTAACCTATTTTGTGACACGTGCAACACATCCCGACGGCCGTAGTTTATGAAGTTTGACAACCTGCTCCAGTAGGCGACCGCGGTTACCTAAAACTCTACACCTAACCTCAGCATTACTCGTCTGGCTGCCCCACTAGATTCATGCAATGCTGCGTAGACAGCGATGTTTAAACGCCGACATCCCGTTTTCTTAATCGCAAAGTTTCTGGCCGAACTACCGCAGCACTCACTGGACCTTTCACGGACAACCGAATTTCGCGGCGGTGCCACACATGTTTCAAGTCGGCAGATGTCAATCTAGCCTTCTGTATGCGTGCGGACACTTCATTTGTGATGCGTCCAGCGAACGAAATATATCCGCTCAAATAAAAAACTTATCCATTTGTTTTATTACTTCCCCAGTTAGAGTGAGTCTGCGTGCTGGACCAACCCAGTTTTGTACCTGTTTAAATCTTTTGCTTTTGTACCCAACCCTCTCTTTTTACCCCTTCTACCTACCCTCGGACAACTTGTTCGCCTCTCGCCAACGTTCTTTGCCAAGAAGCGCGATAAGTAGTTTGCCACTAAATGCACTGCAGATTCTGAAGCCTTGTCAATCACTGAATCTTGTGGACTTCAACGTGAGTCGGTCAATAAGCGTGTTTGGCGCATACATTTGACTCTTTGGGGATTGATGTCCGCTGCCTATCGGAAACGCGAATCCAGGATCCTAATACTATAAGCCATTTAAGTGCACCGGACTTATCTTCAAGGTTCTTCCTCCGCACGACAGTTGTCGACGAAGCCCGTTCAGGAGGCCAACGTGACGTAGGCAGTGTATTCAAAATTACAGCCGGAGCTGTACTAATCGATCGAATCCCCGTCAGCAGTCGCTCATGTGCGATGTGGCCCCAAGGGTCTATCTGCGTCCGAAAGGGAACCAATACTAAAAGGTGCTTGTTCATTACTTCAGCTTATGTACTGACCCAATGCAGTTCTGACACATAGAAAGGTGAGTTCTCTGATAAACTCACTGAACTCATTCAGATGGATCGAAGCTCTGATATTGTTTTTCTCGCAGGTGATCTCAGGGCGCAAGTCAGAAAATTGAACTCATCGGAAGCTTACCTAGAGGGTCATTGTGGTCTGCTCTACCAGCGAACGGATATCGGTGATTGGCTACTTCAGTTCTCCGCAGATTACCAACTGTTTGTATCCTGTATTAACTTCCGAAACAGCTCTCAACGGACAGCAGCGTTGCGCTCCAATTCAACTGGCACACTAACTCAAATCGACTATATAGCAATAAGCTACCGGTAATGTGGTTCAGCACAAAACTGCAGGTCTTATTGGACCACCTGAGTTGAATCTGATCATGCATCAGTTTTGATGCAGTTCACTCTCTAACTCACAGATCGCAGATAACCTCTACCATACTCGTTTGGTAGATCATCGCTTATCTGATCCAGCCGTTCGTGCATGCTTTGAATCAGAACTAAGACAAGAGCTTAACGCGCAGCATCTTGGTAGTCCCGACGAAAAATGGAATCAGATTAGACGAGCAATGCATCCCACAGCGAGGATTGCTTGTGGATCTGAGTTTCAAACCCCTCCCTGGCGTTGAATGTCTGATGAGTCAGTCACACTGATAAAGAAAAAGCTGCGAATCCCGACCGACCGAGATCAAAGCATGAGTACGTGGCGTCCACAACGTTAGCTCACGAAGGACCGTGAAAATTGGTGGGCAACAATAGCAAGCAAAATGGAAGTAGCA